TCGGTCCGAAAATTTCGCAACGACTCAGCCAGCCGCTGAATAAGCGGGGGGGGGGGGGGGGTAAGAGGACACATTTTAAATCGCAACGGGTGTAAGAGGACACTTTTTTTTTTTTTTGGTCTCGAAATTTGGAAATTTGACATTTTGCTCCGTTGGGGGGGGGTAAGGTCACCTTTTTTAGGTCGGCCATGGGAATAATTTTTTTTTTTTTTTTTTTTTTTTTTAATAATTAAAAAAAAAAAAAAAAAAAAAAATCCAAAAGGGGGGGGGGGGGGGGGGGGGGGGGGGGTTTAGGTTTTTTTAGGGGGGTTTACACACAAAAAATTTCCAAAGGGGGGTTTACCCCCCCCCCCCCCCCCCCCCCCCCCCCCCCCCCCCCCTGCGTACGCGCCTGCTTATATCTTACTATTCAGGGTAGTTGCGTCTTCCATAGGATGGAAAGTATTTTAAATGTTGCAATATTTTATTAGTATTTGTAATATCATTTTTCTTCTCATGTTACCTAAGTTATTATGAATTCATTGTGTCACAGTTATTTCGATATCTACAACTCTTTTGTGTGAGCAAATGATGTCTTTATTTGTATGTATTACATGGTATTTAACTTTATTTTTATAACTGGAAATGAAAATAAACAAGCGAACTAACAATACATGTGCTTTTCAATACATTGCAATACTCTGTCAGTTTCTTCTTTTTTACTTCCTGATTTGCACATAATCCATTCTAAAGAACAACAAATACAATGACTACAAAGCATGGTGGACCTTAACCTTTTGTTCAAATCGGGTTAACAAATTAAGGAAGTTCGTTGGAGGTCTAAATATTTTTCTTTTTTAAACATGATCTTTCATGCAGGGTCTGGTTTAACCGAATTAGTAGAATACATGCCTTTTTGTTTCTTTTGTATATTATTACATTCACAACGAATTTACAAAACTGTTGTATAAAATTCTCTCCAAGCACACACACACACACACACACAAATATTCTATCTCTCACCACTTCACAGCATCTTTCAAAATAAACTACATAACTCAAAAATATGGTCAGATTTATTTATTCAAAATACCAGAGTAACAGTTAAAATCGAGATACAGATCCACTGTACATATTTCTTTTTCAAATTTCTTACATTCTTGAAATATAAACATATATTTAATTGCATGAATCAGAAATTATCCTGTACCATTAATGATAATATCTTTATCATCATCATCACCATCATCATTTAATATCCATGTTTTCATGCCATGATGCATTTATTTTCTAAAAGGGGAAGTCCACCCCGATATTAAGTTGGTTTTAATAGAAGCAGAAACAAAATAGAGAAGCAGTTGAGTGAAAGTTTGCACTAAATCTAATTTGAAAAAAAAACCCCAAATATATTAATTTTGAAGTTGCAATCCATCAAATGCAAATCGGCAATTCTTTGCGTATCTTGCAAAGTCTTCTCCATTTACTCTGTACTAAAAAACAACAACACAATATTTAATTTTCTCTAATGAAAGTCATCAATCATACATGTATTGTTAATATATTCAGTCAAATATGTTCTTACACAACCTGTTATTGAAACAAATCTATTCCTTTATCAATAAGTTGTCCTAAAAAGGAAATTTAATACATAGAGGGCAAATTGGCTGAGGACTTCAAAAGATACATCAAAGATTTCCTACATTCTGAACTTTCTTATTTCGTTTAGATGGGAATCGGCTCAAACTTTCACTCATCTGTTTCTCCCATTTTGTCTGATTTTATTAAAATCAACTAAAATGTCAGGGAGGGCTTTCCCTTTAAAGCTTATCTGCCATAGTTTACAGGAGGGATTAGACCGCTCTGCACGGTCACTGGACAGGTGGTTATCTCATCAACTCAGCTCTCAGTTAACATAAGAAAAAGAGGATCATGGGGGACCAATGGTCACCGATTAGGCATTGTTTGTTATATAGAGGGCGCAAGTAGCTACCAGTAGTGCAGTGGGCCTTTAATGTCCCTTCTCGAAGCCTTCCCCTAAGAAGAAAATAATAAGTAGCATGTGCATTGTATGTATATATACATGAACGATCTATGTATAAATGTACAACCAAAGTGAGTACATGAAAGGCTGGAATCCCAAAGTTCTATTGTACCCAGTGTCATCTCCATTATATTCCTGTACATACTTGTATGTATACCTGAGCCTTGAGCAGAAAGACAGGTACATAATATGTCTTCAAAATTAGGACGAGCATATACAGTAAATATGGAAATTGCCCTGTGTGTCCAAAAAGCAATCTTGCACATAAAAATACATCGTGTATATGTAACTACATATATAAATATTTTTGTGCATGATTCTAATTATACAGGATTTTCTGATCATTCACATGAACATTTTTCTCTGATAAATGCACTGAATACAAATTTGAAATAAAGATTTGAAAGTTGGTGCATTCCAAGTGATAATATCTAAAGCAATATTCTTTATAGGCAATGTGTAACCGAATACCAAACAAAAAGAAACAAATACTGGTATCTAAGGGCATCTCTTATGTGTTGTCCTTGGTTGAAGTATATAGTACTTGACAATCTAAACTACATTGGTCTACCTATATTAACCTCATTTTCAAGCATATACCTGTACACACATCCATCCAGATGTATGTGTCTCAGACTCTGCACTGAAATGAGGGTAATTGCATTTCTAAAAAAACCAGCAAACTTTACGATCCTCCTGTGATCCTATTTTCAGGGAAATTCCAATTATATTAGATGTATGGAAATCTAAACAAACATCAACTTCCTGATTTAGATTCTAAATAATGTTAAGGATACTGAAAACAGAATTTTTGTGAATTGTACTCTTCTAGTCAGAACAAAAGCTGCATTGTAGACAATCCCACTGCTGGTCTTACCTAGCTAACTATGATTCTGAGCTGAGTTCGCTTTTCCTCTTCAAAGGAAGCTTTAAAATCCCTTGACATTTAGATTTTCTTAATCAGAAGACTATTCAGATCCTTGGTCATTAAAGATTTAAGATGTTTGAATGTTCGTATCAAATGCTATTGAAAATTCTTCAAAAATCAGATCTTAGTCGGATCTTACAGCGTGTTGTGGGCTTAAAATAAGGACTAGCATGGTACATCACAAATACAATCTTATAGAGTATGACTTGAACACTTTAATATACATTGTACATAACCAAAATATATATGAGTATATAAACATGTATAGAGGTGTACTGTAACTTGTATACAACACAATTGGCAACTTGTAGAAATACATACAGTGCACAAGGAAATGAAAGATTGATGGTTGCGTAGCAGCCTGTCACTGTTAAAAACTATCCCAGACAAATGAATCAATTAATGGAGGTTGAGGATTTGTCAATATTTTGATCAATTAAATCTGGTATCGCCCAAACCACTATCCAATCTCCATGGCCTAGTGGCTTAAGGCACTGGTATTCTAAGCTAGGGACTAAGGTTCAATTCCTGGAGAGACATTTTTGTTTAACCTTTAACAAAATTTCAAAAAGGGAGGACAGCAATGGGGAACTTTAATTTAAGCTGCACAAGCATTATTATTCCACTTCCTTTGGCATCAATTATACAGGATTTCTAAATTCATAGGCAGAATGTTTTTTCTTCTTTCCATAAATGTATTTAATACAAATTTTTAAAAACATTTTAAGGTTTAAGACCTTCCAAGTGATTAAATTCTGAAGGAATATTCCATGGCAATGTGTGACTGATTGTCAAAAAAAAGAGCCATTTATTTTAACTGCTGGAAAACCCATATGGCATAAAGTACAACAAAAATATTTTCAGGAAATGTTATTTCAGTTAATGACATGCTCAGCCTCATCAAGAATCTCGAGGCACATCCTCTCTCTGCACATAAGTAGTTTTGCACATGTTCAGATGTAGTCTCGAGTCCCAGACTCACTTCCTATTTTCCTTAGATCATAATTTTTGTTATACAAATGTATTTTCGAACACAACAAACACAAGAGGAAACAGTGAGAAAAAAAATGGAATAAAAGATGCCATTTCTACATGCATGTTTTTATGCAGAGAAATTGATGCATATATATTAAAAGTAGGGATGTTTAAAGATGAGTAAAGTGCCCCACAATGCGGTATAATTTTTTGGTGAGAATGTCAGGGGGGACTTGAGCCCCCTGAACCCCCCCCCCCTTATTCTGAGGACCAGTGTAAGGCACTTGAGGAAGAGGTTACATAAAGGTGAATACTACTGATTATAAGCCCTATCATCACAATAGAAAGCAAGTGATAGGACATGCCTGACATAGTAACAACTTTCAAATTTAAAATGTCCCAATATTGTATTGTGGAAAATCATGGACCTGTTCCATGAAAAAAATATCAATAACAAATGTCATATTACTGTAACAAGTACGCTCATAGATAATCAAAAGAGCAGAAAAATAAGAGAAATTGGTCAGAGAAGTTTTAAGAATCGTTTTTAAGGGATCAGATATTTCTAAATGTTTCTTATAGTTTCACACAAAAAAGGCAACTTTGTGCGAATTTTCTATTGTGATCTATTCACCATTTCTTTTGTGCAGTGAATTATCTCCACTTAATTTTGTGCATTTCTGTGCATGAGATAACAATAATAGTGGGTTTTTGTAAAGCACTAATATATCACTCCGCAATTGACATAGTAATACATAGTAATATACATAGTAATGGAAACATATTATGTTCTCATTTGCAAATTTAAAATACCCCTTCATCAGAAAAAAAAGGAGGTAAATATTTTAGATAATTTTTCTGTGAAAATTGAAGGAGGAGCAGCTTACAATAAGGCCATCAAATTATGCAGTTATCTTATAAAATTGAAGAAGAAATCAATGAACAATATTTCTTCCAATTTTTCATTGATGTCATTTTTTGGCAAACAATCAATAGCCGATTTCTCTTATCTTTATTCATCTATTGAAATAAAAACTAAGTTACGATGGACTTTTCCCTTTAAAATCAAATGAGTGCGTCAGTTACTAGCCTGCAATACATGGTATTAAAGCTTGTTTAATTCATGCTGCGCATACTGCTGCAATAGCTACCGGTATTGTGGTTAATTTGACATGTAAATGGATGGAAACCGCACACAAGAAAGTTCCTATGTGTTGTATTCATTGAGCTCCCTGTTATAAGAAACAGAAATGTGAATCATATTACATCATCATTTAGAAAAAAACGAGAACAGTTTACCGCATCATATCTAAGGGAGACTTTACTTGTCAAATGATTGTTTAGTGATGAACCTGTCAATCATATCAAAGCTCCTCTCTGGTTGGTCATGAGGCAAAAGGTGACCGCCCCCTCGTACAGTCACCTGGAATCGATAAGAAAGAAGAGACACAGAAATTAGAATGTGAATAAGAGGTAGGCCTATCACGATTTACTAATGCAATTTGGGTTTTATCAATCAATCAGGTATGATTATTTACGTCTGGGGACCGACCTTTACCGTCACCATCCGAAAGACGTGTCTCAGTCTCGAACCGAGGTCTGCCAAGTCAGTTTGTAGGTGAAGACGGAGAGATGATCAAACCATGGACAAAACCACTAGACCAACTCATATTTCCCTACCCCCTCCCCCTTTCTTAATCTATACTTAATATTAACGAGTGATTCTGATTTCTACCCATATTTTGTGTTCAGTGGATTAGATGTTTCCCATATTTTGTTAACATTGTTGAACCAAAGTGTCTCAAAGATGCACATATTCTTAATCAGACCATCTAATGGTTAAATTAATATGCCTATTCATAGCATGAAAGTTCAAAAACTTGATCTTCATTAATTTTGGTAGGGTATTAACTTTCCTTAAGTTTGATATATATTTCATTTAATTTTTATTGACGGTTTATACAAAAATTACTAACAACACAGAGAGTCCACTTCCTTTTTTCGCAGAGTGTACTAATTTACTGAATAAATATGAAGACTCAAAAATATTACTAACCTGGTAGAAGTCCTTGTATTGCCTGACAAAACCTGCAACTTCCGTGTCACTTGGGTGGACTTTCCAGATTGTTTTATTGGAGTTGAGGTAGCCATCTTGCCCAGCCCATGCTAAGCCTTGAAGGAAGTTCTCGGTGAGGGCTGCTCCGACTATGATGTCCAGCTGACCGCTGTAGAACATGCACTGTTATAATATCAGGAGAAGAAAAGGATGAGGGATAAGAAGGTGAGTTCTGCAAGGTCTTTTTAGGTCTTGTATTAAAATAGCATTCTGTAAATGATACATTATACAGTACCAGTCATAGGTTTGGGTGCACTTGGTTCAAGTATGGAGAAAATAATGGATGACAAAAAAAATCCTGATACAATAAGGTAATTTCCAGGGTCCCAAGGACCTCATTACAACGAAGTTCCACTGTATTTGTTTGATCTAGTCAATTTGGTGTTGGTCTTGTTGGTCTGACTGGGGTATGTGATAAAATTTGGAGTTCACTTCTGTGAGCATGAACATATGCACAAGTTCATTGATTGGTTTAGTATACCAAGCATCAACAATTTCGGGGAATTTCAATACTTAAAGCTTGCAATGTTATCATATCTCTACATGGAAATGATATTCGAAGCTGGAATTTCAAACTAGCATACCAGAATGAAACCCTACAATCAGTCAGAATAAATATTTTATGGTATTCTACTTCTACTTTGATGGTAATACTCATCAACGCCTGTTCAGCATCTAGATGAGGGTAAAGCATAGAGTTGTTATATACAGCGATACAGTTCCTGAAAAGGGAACTAAATAGATTCAAGAGCCACCTTGAACTGCTCCAAAGAAGACAGTTCGACAATGTTCTGAGGTAGCTCGTCCCAGTCCTTAAGTGTCCTAGGGAAATAACTAAATTATTTCAGCCCTCTTTAGAATCAAAATAAAATGGTTGACATGATAAAGATTTGATTGTTCTTTGATAAAGAGGTGATGCGTTCATGATTGCTCTGCCAAAGATCTACAACAATCCGGGGCAAGCTCCAGGATTTTGTAAAAGGGATAGGGAAGGAGGGTGGTGGGGGTCAACTCCTAAACTCTTAACACAACTACATGACACAACTCACCCTGTAGTTATCAGCCAGAACCACAGTCCAGTCTTTAACGCTCTTGCAGATATCTTCCCTGAGGTGGTTCTCCACCTTGGTGCCGTCGTTGTAGGTGAGGTTGCCAACATGGATGGCTCGTCTCACCTCGGGAAAAGCCAGGTAGTCGTTGTAGTAGTTTGTGTCTGCTGGAAGCTAAACAGAGCAAGGGGGGGTGTTTCACAAAGATCCTAAGTCGAGCTCAAATCAACGTTGGGCTTAAAAATTATGGAGAGCCATTTGTAGCCTTAAAATAAAATATACTCAAAAGCGAAAATTTAAGTATTATAGACTTTTTATAAATTTCACATCAGGAACATGAACCCTCCTTGATAATAGAAAATATGAATGATTTGAATCAACATTTTATGCCTTTTGAAATAACTTTTACAAAATATTTTCATAGATGCTAAGGCTTTCCATAATTGTTAAGTCCAACTTAGAGATAAGTTCAACTTAGGATCTTTGTGAAACACCCCCCAGAAGGGATGGGTACATGGAAAACAGACTTTATTTTGAGTGAAGACAATGGACATCTTGCCATGTCTCTCAAAGATAACAAATGAAGAAAAGGGGCAGTATTATGAAAAACAGCACTGGTGTTGATAAGGGTGCTCCATCCCACAAGTAGTAAATTAATAAATATAAAATAAAATTGAACACTCTTTATTTGGATGACAAAAATTGGTATCATAGGGATGGCTTGTTGCACCTCAGGTTGAGCTAGGTAATGATTGTAGTGGTCAGTGTGTGTTGGAAGTTGAACATGAGGGTAACAAGGTTAACAAAATTGATGTTGAATAAGAGAGTGGTCAGCCTCCAATATCTTTAAACAGCTAATATTTGTAGATTATTTTTTTTTTAATTTAAAAGGGCTGAACAATAAGTTTGTCTTCTCTAAATTAGGAGCACCGAGGGCAGCTATAGAATTGTCAGAAAGGCAGGGCAAAGAATTTTTGTTTCCAAGGGATCCTCCCAGATTATTAAAGTCCATAGGGGGACATAGGTAGGATTTATTTATTTTTATCTTATATGAATTTTGTTCATAAACAACATTCAAAACATACTATTATAAACAAAAGAAAACAAGGAAAAACATGCCACAATTTTGAATAAAGTATACAGTGAAATAGCTTCAATATAATTGATCATAAATTACTAAATCAAAGAAAAAGAGAAAATCTTACAGTTGTCATCATGAAGTTGTAGTAGTTATTGGATCCTGTAGCATTGTAGTAGAAAGTAGGATATGGAAACAGGTCTCCGTTCAGCACTATGTCAAATTGCTAGGAGAGAGAGAGGAGAGAGAGAGAGAGAGGGGAAGAGAGAGAATACATTATAAAAATTCTAGTTGCAAGAGACAAACTCAGATACTGACATGAGTTGGAAAAACAGCAGGACACCATGTTAACTATCTAAAGGGGAATCGAACCCTTGTAATATATAAATTTGTATGAAAGTAGAAAAATAAGATAAACAGAATGGCGAGAGTTTGAAATGAATCGGACCTATAATAAGAAAGTTATGAATGTTTGAGATCACACTTTATCACAGAGACATTACTGATTCTTCCAACTTGAAGAGCCCATACCTATAGTGAACACAATTTGTTTAATTCATAACTGTTGTTTTTTCCGATTTCATTCAAACTTTCACCAGTCTACTTCTTTTAATTTTCTTCTTTCCTCCAGAGTAGTTTGCTGACAAGATTGGATTTCCAACATCAAAACCCCACCTACATGTATAGTACGGGGTTAAGCAAAATATTGCCAGTGTGAAAACAGTAATATTCATTAGGAGCCAGAGCATATAACACTGAGTCCCTATAGGACATATATTTATTCAAATGGTCATATCTCAGCCAATACTTAACATATTTAATTGGTTATCAAAATTTGGACATTATTTGTTATGCTCTTTCGGAAAATGAAGAAAAAAATTGAGAAATTCTAAAAATAGATTTTTGATGACGTCACACTTCACCACTCTATAGGGGTCACATTGTAGGATAAAAGTAAAGGCTCTAAAAATTCTCTCACCTCAAAACATTCCAGCCATTTCCCCTGATTAATATAGTCGGTTCCCTTGGAGGTGTATTGATCAACAACTTTCTTCTGCTTCAGGTCCACCTGGCTCGTCTGATACATCAGGTCACCATACCCTTGAAACATCTGGAACATTAGGAGAAAAAATAGTGAAACATCTGGAACATTAGGAGAGAATTAAGTTAGTGATTTTTAATAAAATGTATCAACTAATATGAATCTTCATTAAAGGGATTGTATCTTTACCTCAGATTCTATAGCAAATCCTGCATTAGCTCATGCTGCAATCATAATTATAAACTTTAGGTCAGTCAGGAATCCCATGACTTTAACAAGCTGATCGCCTGTCTGATTATCAAGATATTTGTGATTAGAAATCAAAATTTAAAAAATCGCTTTCCCAACAGTTTTTATACCACTACAGTCTAATGGGAAAGCGCAATTTTTTGAAGCGCAATTTTTTAAAGGCCTTCAGTATTACACTATATCACAGACACTGATAACACGTAGGGCCATGCATCTCAGATTTAACATTGTTAAAAGATGCCTTTACTGAAATACAGTGAAACCTGTATATAAAGACTGCTCAGGGGAAACATGAACAGTGGTCTTTATAGGCAGATGGTATTTCTGTACAGGTTCATTTACTACATGTTTCAATTAGAAACTAAATTTAAGGGAAACATAAAATGAGGTCTCTTTAGACAGGTGGTCTTTCTACACAGGTGGTCACTAAAGCAGGTTTGAATGTTTATGACATTAAGCCAGTGCCAGAGCTGGGATTCTCTTGCAGGGGGGTGGGGGCAGTCAGAAAAAAGGGAAAACCCACCCCCCTCATTACCCCTACAGAAAGTTATCGCACAATTTTATCACTTTGTATTAGTCTAAAATCTCTGGAGGGGGGGGGGGGCACAAGAAAAAACTTTTGGGGCACATTTTGTGTGTGTCTACTTCAAGTATACAAATTGAGTTTTGTGGGAGGGATATTGTTTCTGTGTGCACAACCTGAAGGGAAAAGAGGATAATTATTTTCTTGACCTTTAGAAAAGAGCTATAATTTTTATTACAATTTTGCTTCGGTAATTTTGAAAGAGTTTGTTAACAACTTTAGTTGCTAAAATTGGGATAGCATAATAGTATATCTAATATGTCCCAGGTGTCTGCGTACACAGTCCATAATCATGACCTCTGACTTACCGAGTAGGGGTCAACGAGACCATCTCCGATGGCCATTCCTTGTAGATTGATGTGGACCTTAGCCGTCGGGTTCTCGGTATGGATCTTATAACAGATGGCTGGTACGTACTTCCCTGCATACGACTGGAGGTGAGAGGAAAAGGATGAGAAATTGAGGGTTTAGAATTGTTATTAATCTAAAGTCATAGTCAACATACATGTACAAAAGTTTAGATTCTATGTCATTCATGTTAAATAATAATTGATTATTTGTAATTAACCAGTCAAGAAATGGTTAGATTGTGTGAAGGCTGATTGTGCTACTAGATGTCTAGGATCTCTAACAGAAGCGACCAGAACTTCACAAGATAGGAAGAAGATCTGGCTTGAGGTCATGAAGCAGAAGCCATCACTCATCTCCTAGATGGTGTGAATGGCTTAGGTCAAGGTAGGTCAAGGTAATTGAATTGGCTTTATATTAAAAAACAACATGACATGCAGCTCGAGGTTCGTATTGTCTGTTTTACAAATAAATCAGATATTTACATTACAGTACAAACATCAAAATACAACAGCAATATAGTAAAACAACAATGGTAACATCACATAGCAATATTATATAACATTTGATAAAATGTTTTGGGGTGTTTTTTTTTTTTTAAATATCTCACCTCTCCTGTCGCATAGAATTCATTCTTCTGATGTTTAGGAAACAGCTGGAAAAACTGTGTCAAGGCACTGCAAAAAAGAAAATGAAATAAGTTCTCAATCTTTGCAAATGGGAGTTTCATGATTAACAAAAGTTTTATGTGATCAAATTTATTAAATTCTCAATATCAGTTTCCATTGAGAGATTACCTATAAACTAAAAGCTCAGATCCACCTTTAATTTTTGTTGTACAAACAATGAACGTTCATCCCCCCCCCCAACAAATAAACAAAAACAAAAACAAATCTGAATTAACTTTATCATTTTGGTTCTTTCATTTTTCCTTCTTTTTAATTATTCTTTTCCTCTATCTCTCTTAAGACGCCATAGGCAAGTTCTTGTGATAAGAGAGTCTTCTTGATAAGACAGCCACATAGTGTTACTGAATTCTTTCATTTGAAAAAAGGGAAAGCATATTACAGGATCAATTAACCTCCTTGGTATTCCTTTGTTTTCGGAGTTCAAATAATTCAAATATTTGGGAGGAAAATTGTGATCAATGTGAATAACAAGTGGTCTCATTTATGTTGTGCTTTTCAGAACAAGCAATATCTGTCCAATTTTTTGGTTGGTTTGCTGATACTTTCTGGTCCAAATAATTTTGCTACTGTATCATAAACAAAAGATGATTTTAGCAAGTTTCCCTCAAACTACAATCTCATGGCAAAAAAATGAAGATGTACAGTGAAACTTGTTGTTTATTATGGCCATCCTATGAAAACATGGCAGAACTGGCCACTGTAGACATGTGGCCTTTCTAGACAGGTTCTACAACACATGTTTCTACCAAGAGGACGTGACCGTTGCAGACGGGTGGCCTTTACAGAGAGGTGGCTGCTAATTAAGACAAGTCTGACTCTAGTGTCAAATTTTTCCAAAAGGAAGCATGAAAATATGATAACTTAAAGCCTGTCTGCACCAGTTTGTCCAGGGGGATTAGACCTCCCTGCAATGTCACTGACAGGTGGTTCTCATCAAATCAGCTCCCAATTAACATACCGGTAAGAAAAAAGGGATCATGGGGGACCAACAGGCACTGATTAGGCATTGTTTGCTATATAGACGGCGCAAGTAGCTATAAGTATACAGTGGGGCTTTAAGTGTAGAGATTGCTTATCTCTCATACCTGTACAGGTTGACTGCTACATCCTCCTCGTTGTTTGCGTACCCAGCATCATTCTGAGTGAAACTAAAACCAGTCCCAACCTAAGACAAAGAAAGAGGAAATGACATCATCATCATTCTTCAGTTTTCAATTGTTCAAATAAGAAATGAACTTTCCATGCAGATAGTGCAGTTGAAGGCTTTAATTCAGTGTGTGAAAATTAGTGAGAGTGAATTGTGCATAAATTACACATACAAAAACATATGACATCAATTTCATGAAATATCTTTATCTAAAGTGAAAATTTTCCCCCAATTGTTTTCTGCACTCATTTGAGTAAATCCAAAATCAAAGTTATGTATAAATATATTTACTGATATATGTATATATACATTTTTCAATATTTGTTTTATATCTGTGTTATATACAAAACAGTGTGTATGAATTCAAATGAGAAGAGCATTCTCGAGGGAAGTTCCAGTTTCTAGAGAATGTTACCATTTTCTCAGTTACATACATTGTGTAAAATACAATTTAATTTGGAAATGTTTTACTAAGAACAGTACACCAGTCTAACTGTATCTTGTTCATAAAACTATGAAGAATTGAATACCAGTCATCATTTTATACAGCATCTGAATATAACAAATAAAAATTTTTTACAAAGTATGGAAAAGGACCTAATTATTTTTTGTTACATCCATATAAATTCAATTGAATTCAAGGTTTATTAAAAACATGTGTCGCAGCCCAATGGCTGAATTGGTCATGTGTACAATTAAAGACTCATTGCATATTTCAAAATGTATTATTGTACTTACTGGGTTATCTATATACAGCATAGAATACTTCTGAGTCCATGCCCATTTTCTGGGTTGCACTAAGATGAAGGGAAAGAAATAAAATCTTGATAAATCATTAGTTTGAGGAATTATGATTTCTATTTCCTCGTCAACAACTTCCTGCTGGATGGTGGCCAAAGAAAATTGTATGAACTTTCTTTTTAAATTATTCAGCTATTACATGTACATACATTATCTAACAAAACTGTTTGGTAGATGAAGTATTGAACAGTCAGGCTAAGTTTGGTGTGACTGTGAATTTTTTCTTCTTTTACTTTGTCATTACTAGAATTAAAGATCATCTCTTTGGTTTGGTTTTACCCGACTGCTAAGAAAGCATGTGTGTGTATGCTTGTAAGTAAGCAACCAGGGGGCCGACGGCTTTAATTCCTCTCCACAGGACTTGGTAATGAAGATTAATGCCTTACAAAAGGGCACTAGCGTATCGGAATGTTTTTCTAACCCAAGCCCTCCCGGTTACAAGACCACTGATCTACCACTGAGCCATCCCACCTCACTAAACTTTAACATACTGGTAAATAGCTATAAGTGAATCATTATTTCTATCATTGCATATCAATGAACAAAATGCAAGAAGACCAAGAAACCTACATTTTAGATCTTTTGTGACAAGAAAGGGACCATTCTCAGCAAATAGTCCAAAGAGGGAGGAGCCTCCTGGACCTCCTTGTAACCATAGCAACACAGGAGCTGATGGGTCATTGTTCTGGATAGGAGAGAAAGAGACAAAGGGGATTGATTTTTAATCTTTTGTCTGGAAATTCTACAAAATAATAGTTAGCCTACATAATTATAGATACAAATACAGTTGATGCACAATCCATAGCGCCATCTAGCGACATAAGCGTTTGGTCGAATTTACTTGATGTATTAAGGGGAAAAGTCAACAAAATGAATATACACAGTTTGATTGTTGGCTAGCGTTTTGCACTGATGTCGACCTGCGAGTTGAAAAATTGGCTTATCACACCAAGACGCATCCAGAAAGCAAAAATGCATAATTTTTGAAATTCATAATATCATCACATCGTTAGGTTATGGAGCTGGTAAATACGTGTACATGTAGTATCACAATATAGGCTTAACGTTACCCAAGATATCATCGAGATAGATCGAAAAAGAACTTTAAATTAAGAAACATCTCTAATAAACTATGCATTTTTTGTTCCAGATGTGTCTTTCTTGCTTATACATTACTACTTAAGTATCAAACCGGTTATGAATTTAACTACCTTTGTTTATGATTCATATGGTCTCATCATCCGTTTTTTTTTTCTTCTTCAATTTCCATACAGTAATAACATTTTGGGCTATATTCATTTGATCTACTAGTTATGTAATTTCCTGTTAATATAAATTGGGCATTAACTGATGATTTACTATCATTTTAGTTGCAGGTTTTCTACTACTTTAAGTAATTTCAGAAATAAAAAAACAAATTTTGAAAATTGAAGAATTACAAACCTGGGCCGGGAAGAACCAGAAGAACATTGAACTATTGTAGGTGCTGTTGACAGTCAGAAATCCTGCATGTAAATAAATAACACAAACAATGAAATCATCACCTTGAGTTTGCTAAATAAACCGCTATTTTAACTATCCTGACCGCAAATTAGCCAGTTAATTTGCGTCTTCATCAGCCTGCAGTTGCAATTAGCAGGATATTTGGTCGAGAAAATATCTCAAGAAATCTTGGCCTTGTTTCCAAAATATCCCGCTATTGAAAGAGCGGGCTTATTTGCGCCCGTCTGAGCTAGTTTGTGATGAGTGTATCGGTCTGGTGAAGATGCAATTTCGAGCTTCGGGATAATATCCCAAGTCTGAAAATAGCAGGTTATTTGGCAAACTTGAGCTGATGAAGGCAGGCCTATTCTGAAGAAGGGATATTTCTTAATCTTAAGCGGTGTTTTCACTGAAATAATCACATTCACAATGCATTGTTTGTAAATGTAACATTTTTCAATGCAATGGTCCCAGTCGAAAATTTGGTAGCTATGACACAAAATCAAAGAAAAATCTCAGGAATGGCTTGATAACAAAGAAAAACAAAATCACATAGTGAACTTCTTTTATTTTAAATTATAGATTATTGATACCGTAATTGTTACCTTTTCTGTAACTAAATATCTCTATTAACCCAAGCAATTATTTGAAAAAATTGACTTTCTAATAATTATAATGCTTGACACATATTGATATGATAGCAATGCAAACTTCAATAACTTCCTTGAAAGATAACTTCACAAGTCTTTCTAGCAAAACAACATGACAGTTTGGAAATAGTCTGGTTTCTTCAGATATGGATCCACTACCAAAGAGAGAATGTCAAGATAACCAAACATCTAAAGATACTTTTCAGAGCTGTCTGAATTGTTATCTTTAGCTGTAGGCCTATCAATTATTCCATTCTACTTTACCTGAATAACTTTCTACTGTAGTGCCATCAAGGGGTCCAACACGACTCAGTTTCTGACCTGAATTAAAGAATATGAACACAGACAAAATAAATAACAAAGTTATCCAAAAGATGACTTTATTCTACAGAATCTCCATTGACATACCGGGTAATAATTTGCATATATATTTGGGGAACATGTGCTGAATGAGATGTCATAGCATTTACTTGTAAGGGCAGCTATGTCCAGTTTCTAAGAACAAAGACACCCCCCCCCCCTACCACACACACACACACACACACCCTCCTCCCCCTCATTCTGAAGAAGAAAAAAATGTGGATGAGAACCTGGGTATCATTTTAACATAGCCTAATCGATCAGGGAAAAATGAGAAAAAAATATACTGTGCTACTCATTTGGTGCTAATAAAGAAACACTGTCAACAGTAAAAATGCTTCACAAGATTTTTTGTATGGAAACTCCATAAACCTCAATTTTGCCTACTACTGGATTAAAGGGATTAACACAATTCTTTGCCAATTATGACATTAAACTTCTTCTTCTTCTTCTTCTTCTTCTTCTTCTTCTTCTTCTTCTTCTTCTTCTTCTTCTTCTTCTTCTTCTTCTTCTTCTTCTTCTTCTTCTTCTTCTTCTTCTTCTTCTTCTTCTTCTTCTTCTTCTTCTTCTTCTTCTTCTTCTTCTTCTTCTTCTTCTTCTTCTTCTTCTTCTTCTTCTTCTTCTTCTTCTTCTTCTTCTTCTTCTTCTTCTTCTTCTTCTTCTTCTTCTTCTTCTTCTTCTTCTTCTTCTTCTTCTTCTTCTTCTTCTTCTTCTTCTTCTTCTTCTTCTTCTTCTTCTTCTTCTTCTTCTTCTTCTTCTTCTTTGGTATACTCCTCAACATCCCATTAGAAACCAAACGAGGAGAGGAACCAAACGAACCATACCTTCAGCTATTTGCCCAGACTCTATGTATGGTGTTAAAAACAAAGGCTGCCCAGGATCGACCTTTGACTGCTTGGCATATGCAGGTGGGTTGGGGTGGAACATCGCCCTGAACGCACCCCTGCTGGAAACCAAGGGTAGTGACACAATCGCCAACATTGTCATGGTCCCAAGAAAGATGGTCTTCGGATAAGAGGTAGCCATTCTGTTGAGGAAGAATTTGGAAAGACATCTTGGTAATTAATAGATGGGAAGAAAGTGAATTAGAATGGATGAAAGGGGGATCGTAAAATGTCGGTTGCACTAAGATTTAGGAAAAGAAATTACATCTTGATAAATCATTAGTTTGAGTAATTACGGGTATGATCTCTATTTCCCCATCATCAACTTCCTGCCGGATGGTGTTTGGCCAAAAGACAAAAACAAATGGTTATAATTTGGAGAGTCATCTTGGTAAATAGATGGGAAGAAAGTGAATTAGAATGGACGAGAGGGGGACCGTAAAATATGATAGGATTATTGATAATGAATAGCATTACAACTAAAGATGATATCCACTAGTAGTACTGGGACTTGGAGAGAAGAGTCTGGACCAGAACCGTCCTGGAAAATTTACCATTACTTTTTCTGCTACCCTGCCGGCCCTGGCAAGACTGGAAATTGGATAAACAGGATACCTTCTAAAATTTAATTTACAAGTGGCAAAGCCATTATGTGTACTGTTTAATAGGGCAATTCCTACTGTGACAGTATTGTCCATTTCATTTACATGTAGATCTTAGTTCATCATGATAATTATTTGAGATAGCTTGATGCAATTAAACGTTAGTCATCCTTGGATAGACTCTAGAGCTGATTTGGAAGGTTAATCTATATGTTTAATCATTCTTTAGGACGGCCCAATAAATGTAAGTATGATCATTGTTAGAAAAGAAGCACTTAGTCACATTAAATCGCCCTACTTCCATTTCATTTCATGTTTCCTATTTCTTTATGATGATCATGCCAAAGCACGTACTAAAAGGAAACAAACATCATGATCAATTCATGCATCATGATTTAGATAAATTAAAGATGTAATGTTAACAACTTGGGGAAAAGGGAAGCTGAAATGCACAAAGATTAGATCGATTCGATAATTAAACTATAATAAAAACATAACATAATAAATAATAAATGCTTGTACTCACATAGTTTAGTAGTATTAGCAGGCTATTTGCTTCTTTCTGTCTTTGTTTTCACGAAAAAGGGAAGAGCACTGCACTGCACAGCCAGCTAGCTTCATGTGATCGCCGGTGGTCACCTGACACAATAAAAATCGTGCAGCAGACCATCACGTGATATCGCTAGGGAAGGGGGCGGGGCAAAACGACTTGACAGTAATCAGTAATCGGCTATAGGTGGGCCGGTTTCCAAAATCATGTTATTGGAGAACGGGTTAGATAAACAATAAAGTTTTGGGAAGTTATTCACCCTCTGATGTTTGTAACAGTCATGTAATCACCAGAGCTACCACTGCCTATAGCGAGCGAGCAGAAAAGTTTGGAAAAAATAACCAAATTATCATGGGATTATTTGGATTAATAATAGTATATGATAAAAACGGTGCTAATAAAGCGCTTACCACCAAAGTCTCTAAGCGCTATAACAAACAAATACAAAGATAAACAATTACATATTAAACAAAACAAAAAGAAAATGCACATAAACCTACTAATTACAATACATATGAAATATACATCAATGTGAACAGAGCAGATCAGTTAATCATCAAAATCAATTTTGAATAAATGTGTAGTAGTAGTACCCAAGTAGGCCCAAATATCAACATTTCAACAAATCATTTGTTTATATAATATACGGCGAACCTTGTCGGGACGCCCACCTCCCCCCCCCCCCCCCGCCCCACAACTGAAGTGTGTCCGTGCAGGGGCGGCGATCCCGGGGGGACGGGGGGACACGTCCCCCCTCAATTTTTTTTAGGGGGATCGTCCCCCCCCCCTCAAAATTTGGAAAAGTGCCCCAAAAAAGTGTATAGCAAATACTGACTAAAGACTGCAATAAACTGTAAGGCTCTGGACGGCCCATGAGTGCAGCGTTTAGACGAATAAAAGTGCAAAAATCTTCTCGCTCGGGAGCTATGCTCCCTCGCAAAATATTCTTCAAACTGTACAAGTAAATATTGTAGAAAAGTGAAGTGTGAAAAAGGTATATTGCTTGTTTTTATACTATTGTTTTGCTAAGGAATGTAATTTGTTAATACAACAAAACTTCAAAAACCTGTAAAGGGTAGTCACTTACGTTACCTTCATCCCTCTCGTTCACTATGCTCCCTCGCACTGGCGTAATGACGGGGGGGGGGGGGTGGTGGCAGTTTCCGTGGTTTATTTCTATTTCGATACCAGTGATTTACAAATGTTGCTGCTGAAATGTCATGGTCTATTCCTGAGCTTCCGGGGGCTCTGTCCCCTGTACCCCACCAAGGGCCCTAAGGTGGGCCCCTGGTTGCTCATCAGACCATAATTAAATGCCTAAAAACCTGAGCTTCCGGGGGCTCCGCCCTAAAGCAGGCCCTGGATACTCATCTGACCGTTATTAAATGCTTAAAACCCCTGAGCTTCCGGGGGCTCCGCCCCCTGAAAAGTAACAAGGGCCCCTAGATGCTCATCTGACCGTTATTAAATGCCTAAAACCCTGAGCTTCATGGGGCTACGCCCCTTAACCCCCGCCAGGGCTTTGCCCCCTGGACCCCACGCCAATGTACACTCCACTTGCTTCGCTCGCTTTGCTCTACCTGATCGAAAATATCCCCCCCCCCCCCCGTCATGAAGAGAAATCGCCGCCCCTGGGTCCGTGCAACCACTGCCATCCCTTCCAAAGCCTCGCATCCTCTAAAACCGCATGATTTCAAAAGCCAGAGGCTAGTCTCAAACGTTTTTGATAGCAGGGTATTTACCAGTCTTGAGGTCCATGAACTAGTGTGGGAAAGAAATATGCGCAACTTTACGTGCAAAATCCAAAGTGGTGTACCACAGCCCAAATTCAGATGTGTATAGTTCAGTACCCACTTATATATTATTGCACTTAAAGCTTTTATTACTAGTATCCTTTTTTTTTTTAAGCGTAAATAAATGAGCGTGTTGCAATATGTAACTTCGGCCAGTTCTGATAAAATTATGAACAGAGACAAATTTGCGCCCGAACAAAATTCAAAAAGAATCATTTAGCGGCGGATTTAGGCATCCCTATCTTCTCTTTCCCCCTCCCTCCCCCCCCCCCCCCTCCCTCTCTCTCTCTCCCCCCCCCCCCCCCCCCTCTCTCTCTCCTCTCCCTCTCTCCCTCTCTCTCTCTCTCTCCCTCTTTCTCACTCTTTCTCTATCCTAGGCCCTCTCAAAAGTTTCTTTTTTTCGAGTTATCTTTTTCCAGGGAGATGTGAGTTTAAACTCACATCTCCCTGCTTTTTCCCTTCCCTTTCCATTTTCCAATCTTCTGATTTTAATGATTTCCTGAATCCGACACAAATTGAATAATCAGATAGTTCAATTTCTTAAAGGCACTAGGTTACATTGTGATGGTTAATTTCATAATCTGTTAAATCAGGATGCAAAACACATGAGATTAATTTTGTATGTTTGGACTATCCAAATAAAATGCCCCATGCATAGGCCTATCTGAAATTAAATCACGCAATATGAAGATTTTTAACGTTCTCTTTTTGTTTGTTCGATAGTTATACCCCAATTTCTTCCTGGACGTTGTATATTGAGATCGAACACAGATCCGTCATTATTTTTGATAAAAGAGAAGTACGTTAGCAATTGATGTGCTTAATGGATCCCCGGAAAAAAGAAGGACAAAAAAAGAAGGGGGGAAAGGGGGGAAGAAGGAAAACAAGGGAAAAGATTTTTTTTTGTTTTTTTTGGGGGGGGAATGTGTTCTCCCACCCCCCCTCCCCCTCAAGCCACTGAACGAAATATCTGACGACGTAATTTTTTCAATTTCCGCCCCCCCCCCCCCCGCAAAAAGAGAGAGAGAGAGAAGGAAAAGAAGGGAAAGAGTTGCAATTTTCCCGCCAACAAGTTGTGGATCGGGTGGGGTGGGGCAAAAGGCCCTTGCCTCCCCCCGCCCCCACTAAAAAAAGGTGAAAAGAAGGGGGAATAGATCATTCGCGGTTAATCCCGCCAACAACGTGTGGAGAAGGGTTGGGTTCGAAAGGACCTTGCCTCTCCCCCCCCCCCCCCAGCAAATCTAAAAGAGAGAGAAGGGAGGGAAGGAAAAGGGAAAGAGGAGAGAAAGGGAAAGAAAGGTGAGGGAGATCAGTTGCGATTTTTCCGCCGACAACTGGTCAGGGGGGCGGGACACTGGCGTACTGATTGGGGAGGGGGGCTCGAGGCAAATAAAATGTATACATGGTTTATTTCTAATTCTATAACGGTGGCTTACACATAATGCTGAAATGACGTCATTTTCCGAGATTTTTCCTCATTTTTTAGTAATTTTTTTTTTTATGCGTTTGTTGTAAAATGACAAATTCCTAAATTTACAAGAAATATGCTCCTTGAGATGCCTACATGTCAGGGCCCGCGGAATGGCAGGGATCGGGAGCCTCCAGCTCCCTCCCTCGCCCCCCCCCCCCCTCCTACTTTTTTTGAAGAAAAAGTATATAAAGAGAAATAGAAAGAAAGAGAGCAAGTCAGCAAGAAAGAAAGAATGGTTAACTTCCAGTGTCACAACAAAATAAGGTATCAAAAAATGCTCATCTGACCGTAATTAAACGCCTAAAACCCCTGAGCTCTGCCCCTGGACCCAACCAAGGGCCCTAAGGTGGGCCCCTTGATACTCATCTGACCGTAATTTAGTGCCTGAAATCCTTGAGCTTCTGGGGGCTCTGACCGCTGGACTTCAAGCCAATCAGTGTCCTGTCAGCGTCACAAATAAGGTAAACAAATATGTTCATCTGACCGTAATAAAATGCCTAAAACCCCTGAGCTTCCTTGGGCTCTGCCCCCTGGACCTCGCCTAGGGCCCTAAGGCAGACCCCTTGATGCTAATCTGACGGTAATTTAAACCTTAAACCCCTGAGTTTCCAGGGGCGGACAAGGTATCAAAATATGTTCATCTGACCGCAGGCGCGTAGCCAGGGGAAGGTGGGGCGCCCCCACCGCCCACCCCCCCCCCCCAAAAAAAAACGCCGGCCAAAAAAAGAGAGGAGAGATAAGGAAAAGGACGTAGGAAGAACGAGGAGCAGACGAAAAACATTTTTGAAATTCAGACAAGGATTAAGAGTCGAGAACGGTACAACGAATTGTCTTCTCTCTCTAATAATTTAATGAAACGTCAAAGCTTCTGCGCTTCGCGCAGGAGGGGGGGGGGGGGACTAAATTGAGACAAGGATTAAGAGTCGAGAACGGTACAACGAATTGTCTTCTCATTCTAATAATTTAATGAAACGTCAAAGCTTCTGCGCTTTGCGCAGGAGGGGGGGGGGACTGAATTGAGACAAGGATTAAGAGTCGAGAACGGTACAACGAATTGTCTTCTCTCTCTAATAATTTAATGAAACGTCAAAGCTTCTGCGCTTAGCGCAGGAGGGGGGGGGCTGAATTGAGACAAGGATTAAGAGTCGAGAACGGTACAACGAATCGTCTTATTTCTCTAATAATTAAAATATGCCAAAGCTTCGGCGCTTTGCGCGGGAGGGGAAAAACAGTATTCAGACGAGGATAATTTTTTTTCGGTACAACGAATCGTCTTCTTTCTCTAATAATTTAATGAAACATCAAAGCTTCGGCGCTTTGCGAAAGAGGGAGGGGGAAATCGCCCGTCCCTGCACCCCTCTCCATTACGTCAATGCTGGTCATTATTACGTACCAATATTTGGCTCGCATTATTTTCAAATTTGGGCCCCCCCCCCCCCCCTTAGAAATCCTTGATCCGCGCCTGCCCAGGGGAACCCAACCCCTGACCAAAAAAAAAGTTGGGAAAAAAGATGGTATTCACAATTTTACCTTACGCGTGATACAATAGCAACATAAAAGTTGCTATGTCAGACATGCTGTAGCATCACCAGGAAGACAAAGGCAATGATGATGTATTGTATATGACGTATGGAAGCATGCATGTACGCAATTCTGTTATGATCGAGTGCTGAGCTGGGTAAAATTATATACCATTGGCTATTGTATAATATTTGTTTAGCCAAATGTTTAGTCTGACATGTCTGACATGTCTGACATAGATAGCAACTTATTTGTTGCTATTTTTTGTTGCAGGGGCGGCGACCCGGGGGAACATGCTCTCCTCTTAATTTGTTTTAAGGGGGGATCGTCCCCCCGTAAAGTTAAAAAAATGCACACAAACATAATAAACCGGTATATATAGCAAATACTGACTAAAGACTACAACACAATTTTAAGCTCTGGAGGGCCCAAGAATGTAGCGTCTAGACTAATACAAACGCAAAAATCTTCTCGATCGGTCGCTACGCTCCCTCGCATATCCTTCAAAATATACAAGTAGATGTAATAATTGTAGAAAATCTGTATTCCGTCAGTACCACCGTGATACCAACGGAATACAGATTTTCCCCTCGCATTTCGTTGGTTCCCCCCCCCCCCAGTGGGTGCGATTTTCAAATTTTCGAGGGCAAACAAATAAATAGTGCTCACTACCCCCCTCCTGAGCGAATTATCGGCCGGCGCGACTTTCACATTATCGGGGCCCCCCAAAAAACAGTGCTCCTTACCCCCCTCCCCCCTTAAGTACCATAAAAATATACCAAACTGCAGTTTGGTATATTTTGATGGTACTTAAAAGGCTCCTGTCATCCAAATACAAGTTTATTGCTGTTGGTGTTTAGTTCTCCATACACCTCATATTTCGATAAATTATGTTAACTTCTAAATGTGTTTTATAGATTTTAAAAGTTCCACCCTAAAAATCCTCCAGATCTCATTCCCCTTGTGTCGTGGTATGTAACTTTTCCAAAGTTGACCACCTGTTACAATACAACAAACCAGGGGCGGCGATTTTTTTTTTCTTGACCAAAGAGGGGGCCCAGTTCGTGAGAAAATATTTATCGGCGAAACAGCCAGTCGGTGAATAAACGGGGGGAAGGGGGAGAGGGGGTAAGGAGCACTGTTGTTGTTTTTGCCCCAATAATTTGATAGTCACGCCGGCCGATAAATTCGCTCAGGGGGCGGGGGGGGGGGGGGTAGTGAGCACTAACTTTTTTCCCCCTTTTTTTTGCCCTCGAAAATTCTACCTTTGAACATTCCCTGGATGATATCGCCGCTAAATATTATATCATGAAGAAAAGAAAATTAGTGCTCTCCGAGGGACTTTGTTATGACGATTAATTTTTTTACAGTGGCGTAGCCTTTTGATTCAGTATATTGAAGGCAACCAACTCATATCCAACTTGTATAAGGACATGAATATTCAAACTAGTTGAATTCACTGCATACATCCACAATTTAAAAATGACAGCCATGGCAGAATGCGGGAGGGGGGGGGGTATCTGTGGCCGCCGAATAAGAATATTATAATTTTCAAAGTTTAAAAAGCTTGGATTAGGCTAGCGACTTTCTCGGTAAATGGTGATTTTGCGAGGCGCATAGCGATCGAGCGAGATAATATTTGCAACTTTGAACTTTGATTTTAGAGCACTTTCGATTCAAATTCTGATCTTAATCATCCAACATCTGTAACATTGAAGCACCGGTTAATATAAAAGATCAATTTTTCTAAAGTGCCGCTGTGGACTGAAGGGAAGGGGGCAACATTCGTGAATATTTTCAGGGATACCCCCCCCCCCCTGTTGCTGACCAGTAATATGTATTATTTGTGAGTTTTAACACTTTTAAAAACACATGCAAATATTTGCTTATGTAATCTACCATTTAGAAATCCGAGTAATTCAATAATATTATATTGGGGCAACTAGCTCGATCCTAAAAGGAGGGAGCGTAACGACCGAGCAAAAAATTGTTTTATTTTGAATGCTGAAACTGTATTTCAAAACACAAACAACCACATGTTTCAGCATTTATAGTTTGCTCAATAAACTGTTGCATTTCTCAAAATTTGGGATGGCCTGACGGTTAGGCCTAGGCCTACAAATGATTTTTTTTCTTCTTCTCTAATCATCTTTGCGGTTAGGATGCTGTTGGTATAGCCTTGGCTTGCCCTAGAATATTTTTTTGATGCGAACGAGCAAAGTGAGCGAGCAATTCTTCAATAAGCATAATAATAATAATAATAATATTGGATATTTATATGCGCACTTAATAGTGCATAGTGCTCTTGAAAGGTGCTCCAATATGATTACACCGGCTCTGCTAGGCAGCCGATTTCGGCACTCACGGCATTCAAGTAATTCAAGACATTCGAATATATTATGCTAGTTTAGAATAAGAAATGCAATCGGGCAAAATAAGGGGGTGACACCTTTGAACATCAGTGCCACAATTTTGTTTTTCTCTCACTATTATTGTCGGCATGGCCACGACTTTCTGTTAGTACCATCCAATAGCATTTCTACTGACATACAACAACTCCGAAAAGCATTATCATTACATTTTCCCCATTTTCAAACTTTTTTTTTTGGGGGGGGGGGGGTTGGGTCCATCGTCCCTTAACCATTGCCCCGTATCTATTCCACTTCTACGTCGTCAGAAGATATGAGGCCATACAATCTTGATCTCCACAAGCTGCTGTAGAAAATGTAAACATTCACGAAGTACCCATTTTACGGATTTTGTGTATCGGATTTCGATTCAGAATGTACACGGTAAACGCGTACCAAATGTGTGTAGGCTATAGGCGCTAGGCCCTATTACTTTTTAGAGCGAGCAAATCCTGTGCGACGATGTATTTCTCTGTGGGCGTTGAACCTGAAAATGAAAACCTAACATCATAATTTTAAGATTTACGAGTATCCAGGACTCTCATTATTCTTCTTCAGGGTGTCAGTCGGAGGAGATCATTCAGAATGTCGTCCCATCAACCGTCGGGAAAGAACATGAAAACGAAGCATATAAAGGCCGTTTCGCAGAAAGTGAAGCTATTTCGGGCGAGTGAGCCACTCCTCAGTGTATTGATGTGGGGGATTAACCATTCGGTGAGAAAATCAGCATCTTTATAAATTAACGTTACCATTTTAGATGATGTTGAAAGTTCACTTTGTGTTGTTGAAACACAATAACACATTAACAAGCAAATGAACACTAACAGCATAAAAGTAACAAAATGTCAAAAACATTTTGTAGTTTGCAGAGCTGAACTGAGCATCGAGCTCTCAGAGACGGAGGCCAGCACAAGATCAGATCTCACTCTAAAAACTCCAGGAGTGTTGACTGTTAATGATGAACGTGATTGCATGAGCTATGGTCAGGACTTATGATAATTATGAATGGTTGTGTGATTTCCGTATCTCAGTTTGTTAATTTGAGAACCCTCTCTGCATTAACCCATGTTAACCAGAGAATGAGAGATGCCAAGTTCAAGATCAGCTAGGCCTGATGCATTTCCATGATTCGGGGCGCAGGCTAGGTAGGGTATACGTCTACGTCTACGTCTATGCTGGTACTCGTCAAAAGCCTTTTCAGCAACTAAACGAGGATATTGTGGTGTGGTGTCTCATAGTGGTCATGATTGATTAGTGCATAGTGCGTATATACAAGTTGTGCGAGTAAAAACAGATCCTCCTATGATTTAGGCGCTGATGGCTCCCTTGAACTTCTCCACAGAGGGCAGTTCAATGAAGTTGGTAGGGAGCTCATCCCAGTCCCGGAGTGTTCTTGAGAAGAAACTTTGCCTGTAGCTGTCAGAGTTGGAGCTGGGTCTCATGAATCTGTGTCGGTGTTGCTGACGTGTTGAACGGAGTCTTGGTTGGATGTAGTCTGGAATTGGTACTGCGACTAGGTGGTTGATGGCTTTGTAAAGCATGGTTAATCGGGCTTGCCTGCGTCTCTCCTCTAAGGGTTGGAGTGCTAGATCTTCTCTCATTTTGGTGACGCTGGCATCTCGTTGGTAGTTTCCGCATATGAAGCGTACTGCCCTTCTTTGGATTTTCTCAAGCTGGTCAATCTGATTTTGTCTGTATGGATCCCAGACGACGGAGGCATATTCTAGCTGGGAGCGTACCAAGGAGATGTAGGCCTGTTGTTTAATATGCGATGAGCATTTGCTGATGTTTCTTCTTAGGAATCCCAAGGTTCTTCCTGCTTTTGCTGCAACGGCATTGATATGAGGCTTCCAGCTGAGATGCTCATGAATTTCAACTCCAAGATAGGTTTGACTAGGTACGGCTTGCAAGATATCCCCTCCTAGTTTGTAGCTGTGGATGATTGGTTCTCGCTTCCTATGTACTCTCAGAGTGTGGCATTTCTTAGAGTTAAAATTCATTTGCCAGTCTTCTGTCCATTTGTTCAAGGTATCAAGGTCTTTCTGTAGTGTGGTCGTATCTTCTGTTGTCTTTATTTCTCGGAATATGAGGCAGTCGTCAGCGAATAATTTGATGGAAGAGTTTATGTTGTCTCTGATGTCGTTGATGTACAGCAGGAACATCAGCGGCCCTAACACTGTACCTTGGGGTACCCCCGAGTCGACGTGAACTGTAGACGATGCTTCCCCATCAATTACTACTCTCTGTGTTCGTGTAGTAAGCCACGTCTGGATCCATCCATTGGTTTCATCTCTTATTCCATAGTGTGCAATCTTCTTTAGTAAGCGTTGATGTGCTACCGTGTCGAATGCCTTCGAAAAGTCGAGTATCAAGACATCTGTCTGAATCTTCTTGTCTAAGGATCTTGTGACTTCTTCCAAGGTGTTGACTAGCTGGGATTCGGTTGAGTGTTGTTTTCGAAATCCATGTTGACAGTTGGCAAGAAGTTGGTGTTCATCAATATGTCCCATAATGGAATGAGATATTATATGCTCCATTAATTTAGTGGTAACACAAGTCAATGACACAGGGCGGTAGTTGCTAGGTATGTTCCTATTCCCCTTTTTGTAGATTGCAACAATATTGGCTGTCAACCAGTCTTTCGGCAGTGTGCCTGTCTCATATGACTGCGTGAAGATCAACTGCAAGATGGGAGCAATCTCATTTGCCGCTTCTTTCATGATACGAATGGGGATCAGATCTGGTCCGCTTGCTTTACGGGGATTTAAGTTGTCCAACAGTTTCTTAATTCCATCAGTACACGTAGACTCTATAGATCTAGCGTATAGACTCTAGCGTTTTTTCAAAATCGCGCGTGTGCGTTGTGCGTGAGAGCGTTTTCAGATCCTCGAAATGTGTGACACTTGGTAATTCTGCATTAACCTGAAATAGGAAACCACAATTTGCTCCACATCTGTAGACTATAGATCTATCTAGATCTAGACCCTAGTCTTAAATTAATAAAGGACTATCCTGTATATGTATCCAACCCTTGTAATCAGTCGGGGCGCTGGTCCAAAAATAATGGTTGTCCGCATAAACGAGGATCGTCTTCATAACGTGAACAGACGCGTTCGTAAAAATGATTTCTGATCCGCACGTTGGAAATGCCAAAAACGGATTCCACAATGATTTTCTTGATGCATTTCACATTGACTTGGTCCAGAGACTTTCACGTTTTGAGCAATAAATCCTCAAGAAGACGGACAACCCATAAAAGTAGACGGTGAACTGGGGGTATTTTATTATGCGGAATTTGTTTTTCGCATTGCCAGCGCGTGGATCAGGAACTTGAAACCCACGATGCGATGCGATTTGTTCGCACTTACGAGGATGTCCTCGTTTATGCGGACGATCCTCATTCTCGGACCAGCGCCCCTACTGGTAATAAGTCAATTTGTATGACAGCAGAAAAATCTAAATGGGGAAATTTTGAAATAAATTGGACCAATAAATGAATAATAAGAATTTAAGAAAGTAGTCTACTGAATGTTTGAAATATGACTCTATGAAATCACAACAGCTACATGTACATGAATATATTTTATGTGAATCTCAAATTGGCAATTTTGACAGTGGATTGTGACTTAGAGACGGATACTCTCCCGTTCTGTTATGTCTGTTTTTTCTCCCTTGTGTCTTTACTCTTCACCCTTGGGCACAAAATATATTATAGAGATTGGAAAGTTTATTATTACAGGGCCTCTAAAACAAAAAGACCATCACGAGTCATACTCATACATTTTTGACAAATTTAAATTTTAGTTATTTTGCATGTTGGAACTAATGGGAAAGTTATTGGCGGATAATCCGCCACTGCATCACATACACATTACCGATTCCTGGTCAAGTGCGTTATAATAGGCCTAGCGACACAAATATAAAAGATACATGTAAGAGTTAGATTCTAAGAGCTTGCAGGCTTGCTATACTTACCAAAAACTCCACGTGATTCCACTTGCCTTGAGTAAATATAAAATCCATAGAACTTGAATCAGACACTGAAACAGCTGAAATTGGCATGCCCTGAAATTCCTGGCTTCGGCCATTATAAAATCCAAAAGTCAAAACAGGCCAAAAGTCAAAACAGGCATTTACAGTTTGAACGTAGATTACTAGATATTTACAGTAGAGTTACAAAAAACTTATTATACATGTAGATATTCACATTGCATCCATTAAAATGAAAAACCTTCTGGATGCTCTGCTGCTGCTGATTAATCCAAGATGGTGGCCCACATGTTTTGCTTCTTCTCTTAGAACAATATTATTGATTTCAAAGTCATGAAAAGGCCGTAAATATCAACAAACATGGTCTACAACAACTCCAAATGACAAAATAATCCCAGCCATGAATTTTTTTGGGCATTTGATAACCAAAAACTTGAACATTTTCATCATTAAAAAAAACGAATTCTGCCGATTTTTTTTCGCTGATTATTTTTGCCGATACCGATCACAGGTGCAAGGATGTCGCTCCGATCTTCCGATTCGATCAAAGCCCCAACTTACATGGTTACAATAAATACAAAGCGACTCTTCGCCAAGAATGAAAATAAATTTTAGATTTAAATTTTCAAATTTTGTCCAACATGTGTGAGTTGAATTGATTGTTAATGTTGCTATTTAGGTATTATAAGTCGTCACTGAAGTGCTAATTTTTTAATGAATTCTGGTGATTTTTGTACAGTGTTGTTTTCTTTAAAAACGTAAACAAAACTTAAAATGTGTTCGGATTCACTCCTTCTTGCACCCAATAAACCTTGCACCCTGGCTTCAGAGTTACCTTGCACCCTGGCTTCAGAGTTACCTTGCACCCTGCTTCAGAGTTTGCTAGTGGACTCTTCTTTCTTCTCATAAAAAAATTGATACTGGAATGATAGCTATTTGCTTCCCTTCTTTTTGTTCCTGATCATAATAGCTTACAGTGTGTACATGCGATTTACAATAGAAAAGCATAGAAAATATAAAAATAAATTCATTTTCCAAATATATCTATCACTTCCTTCATCAATGTTCTTCCTTATTTCCTGATTTTCCTCTATAATTTCATTTGCCAATTTTAAGAACACCATCATTTCCAAAGTCCAAACTCAACGAACCTTTTTTTCTGACAGTAATCACAGCGATTTATCACGATTTTCATGAGTGGATCATAAAAGAACATTTGAAAATATTGTTAAACATTAATTATTTATTATTTTATTATTATTTATTCAGCAATTCACAAAAAATATAACAATGTAAATGTAGGTAAACAAACATTAAGAGAATGTCAATTATAAATGCACAATCTTCCTGGAGGTCCTCTGAGTGCATCAGTTGGCTGCCGCCTGCCGGGGAAGAGGAAAGCAAACTAAATCACTGTAACCGTAATGGTCCCTCTTCCCGACCAACTGGTGCACCCAGAAGACCTGCAAAATATAGCATGAAGGTAATTAAAATGTATAACATTTCATTAACAAACCAGCTAACAAAAACAAATCACAAGGAGGAAATCAAATTAATATCTATGATGACACTAGGTCATGACACGATACTGAACATTAGCATGAGGAATTAAAGATAAACTTGAGTTCTGGTAAAAAAAAGGAAATGAATTCTCACAGAATCTAACAAAACTTACACTCAATGTTCAAGATTACAAATAAATGTCATGTGCCAAACAATTTTGG